CTGGTGAATTCTGCTCAATTTATCGTTTTCGATTGATTCTGCGTTTTTGCAATGTAGTGCTTAATTGATATTTCGCTACATGAATAATTGTTTTGCATGCTTGATTCTATTAGTTCTTAATTACTCTGAATTAACATGAATTTTGCATCTACTTCCTGTGAATAAGAGTTCTTCTTGTCCTTGATTATAGTTTTGATGAAGACAAACACATCAACAAAAAGAAGAGTCAAAGCATGAAGACTATTGCAATCAAGTTCAAATTATCAAAAAGCTTTAGAAAATTAATGGAAGAATCAAGATGGTTGAATATGAATTACAATATATATATATATATATATATATATATATATATATATATATATATATATATATATATATATATATATATATATATATATATATATATATATATATATATATATATATATATATATATATATATATATATATATATATATATATATATATATATATATATATATATATATATATATATATATATATATATATATATATATCTTAATTTCTCATAAAAAACATGAATATTCATCTTAAGCCTTTCATAAATCTTTTAAAGTAATTTTTAAATTAATTATTCTGTTTTGGAAAATTATGGCATTTCAAACTGACATAATAGCACGTTAAAACTGCCACAATTTTCTAAAAAATGTAAAAATACTTTAATTTTTGAGAATGTATCAGGTGTAATCGATTAACCATTATAGGTTAACCGATTAACACTGAACTAGTGGAACTTTTTCATGAAAATTTTGATCCAAACGAATTTTTGAATGCATATATGAACCATGACATTTTTTCATGTATTTGTACTATTTTAGAAAGGTGTTAAGGCACTGTATAAACCATACTTTTCAAAATTCAAACTAATCTCTCTTTCATAGCAATTCAAAACTTATATTCTCTCATTTTAAAAATCAAGTGTTCTTGACATAACTTTTTTTTGAAACTTTTCCACATCAATTTCGTTACATTTTCAAATAGTTTCAACTACATAAATCATTAAGCACTTGTACTACATATTAAGAATTTACTACTTGATAGAGAAGATCAATTCTAAGAATTGATATACATTGTTATACAACTTCAAACACTTGTAAAAATTCAGATTGTTGTTATTTCCTTGTTGTCCAGGATTGTTGGAAGTAAAAGAGTGAATAAGGGAGGATTGTTCTCTTATTGCATTTTATAAAGATCATAAGGGGTTTGTCTTATTAATTGTGTTGCTTATGTTAGAAGATTGTAGGATAGGTCTTGATGGAAGACTTGTACAAATATCTGACATAGTGGAAATCTCTCACGGAGAGTGAGGGGACTGAAGTACTTTCGGATTGTGAGAGGAACTAGGATATAGCATTGTGTATTTTACTTTCTACATTTATTTTTCAGCATATTTACTTTCATATCATTTTTAAAAAATAATAAAACTAGTGTTAACACTTCAAATTGAGAAAAGTCAAATAAATCTAATTCACCCCCTTCTTAGAGACCGCACATACTTAAAATTGGCATCAGAGCAAATTATAGGTAACTTGTTCCTAAAAGATTCATAATGGCTTCCGTAAATCCGGTTTTTAGAGACGGTGGTAGCAACAACAATCCTCCACTGTTCCGTGGTGAATACTTTGATTTTTGAAAAATTTGTATGAAGGCGCATCTAGAAGCACAAGGAGAAGATATTTGGGATGTTGTACAAAATGGTCCATTTGTTCCTACTAGTCGGGGACAAAGAAGTCCTCTGGTCGTGAAACGGACATGGCCACCTACGGGGGAGGACTAGAAGGAGAAACTCTTATTTCCGTCTTTATGTACTGTTTCAAATGACCCTCCTTGATGAGGATCTCAATGGCGTCCTTTAGATGGACACAATCTTCGGTCATATGGCCATGACTGCGATGAAAGTAGGAATACTTGCTTCGGTCGGTGTTGCCCTTTGATATTGTGGTTTAGAGAACCGGACCCCTCCTTATTTGAACTCGGTGTTGATGCACTCAGAAAGGATGCACTCGCGGGGAGCTGTCAGTAAGGCATACTCAGTAAAGCGACCAACAGGTCTTTATGATATCGGGGACGTTCATCTCGTCGTCTTTCTCTGTCGCGCCAGGGAGCTTTTGCCTCGTCCTTTTTTGAAGCTCTGGAATTCTCTTGGTCCCTCGAATACCGGGCTTTGTAAGCAACTTCTTTTTCCTCATATTGAATGTAAGATTGGGACTTGTGGAGGAGTTCGGCCAGAGAACAAGGCGGTTCGATCCCCACTGTTTTGCAGAAATCACTATTTGGCCTTAATCCCTTTTCGAGAAGGTACTTCTTCATGTGGTCGGTCGTGCAGATCTCAACTGCTTCCTTGGTAAACCTATCAATGTAGGCAAGAAGGGGCTCATCCTTGCCCTAAATTATGCCTTCGAGCATAGCTTCTGACTTGGGGTGACGCTTGATGGTAGTGAAATATCAGTCAAGCTGATCTTTTAGGCTCCTCCATGAGGTAATCGAACCATGGGGAAGATTTTTATACCAGGACATAACTCCCTTTCTAAGGGTGATGGGGAACTATCTGCACTTGATCGCTCCACTTACATTTTGATAATGAAGGATGACTTCAATGTTCTCTATATGATCGCCAGGTTACGTGGTACCATCATAGAGGGCTAAAGGGGAAGGCTTCTTCAGCCCGTGAGGAATACGGGTGTCCATGATCTCTTGGGGTAGAGGTCCATAGACGTCGTCCTTGTCACGCGTGCTTGACGACCTACTCGTGGAATGACTATGCCCGTGACTCCTACTGCGTCAAGGAGAGTGCCTGTGCCGATGTTCGCGAGGCTTCTCTGAAGGCCTGGTCTTCTTGGGTGTCGGAGAATGCCTAGACCTCCAGGGAGGGGTACGATGTCGTCTTCTTGTGACCTCTTGCCTAGGTTTCTCCGACTTTGATCGTTCCTTGACTAGGGAGATGCTTCAAGACTCGTCTCACCGACGTTTCTGAGAAGGAGAACGAGAACGAGGAGAAGGACTGAGAGGTCTCCGCGGGGGAGGTTGTTCTTGAAGGGCGTTTTCCAACACGTGGATCTTCTCGCCCTACTGGAAAATCATGTAGTTGGATTTGTTGAGAGCGGCGATAAGAGTCGTAGTGTTGGGATCAACATCTTGAGAGACGAGGATGGGCTCGTAGATGTAATCGGAATTCTGGATGCGGGGTTTCACGTTGTCAGGGGATGGAGAGGCAATCTTTCCATCCCTCGTAGACCACAACTCCAAGATTGGGGTTATCGTCGCTACCCAAGGCGATGACGATGATAGAATCTTGAGGGACATCGTTGTTATGGTGAGAGGCCATGACGAGGAAGGTTTAGAGAGAAAAAGCTTTGGTCTTTGGATTGAAAAGATTGAGGGTCTTGGTTCAAGAAAGACGGGGGAGTTGGTTCCCACAAACGGCGCCACTGATCTGGGGTGATCAGAATGGATCGCCGTGACCTTCAATGTAGAGCGACAACAGTGATGGTTGTAGGAGAGGAGGGGGTGTACCTGCAAGGTACTCCGATGCCAAAGTAAGTTTGGGGTAGAAAGAGAGCAAGTACAAAGTGTTTAGGTATGAATTAGAATGATTTTGGATATCTGACCCTCTCAAGCGAGAGGATATTTATAAGAATCCCCCAGCGCGAGGCCAAGATCTCCAATGTGACCAAAATATCTGGTCGACCAATGGGAGACTGCTAGGTGGAAGATCTAGCGCGTATAATTAGAAAAACTAAGGGACGGGTACGGAGTACGACATTCTTAGAAAAACTAAGGGACGGGTACGTTAGTATAATTTTTTTAAAATACAATTATAAAAATTACAAAGGAATTATATTGTTTAAAATAACAACAAAATATTAAAATTAAAAAAAACAATTTACTTAAAAATACTTAATATCTACGCAATAACATAAATAAATCACAAGAACGAAGCACGTCATAGATAGGATATGTAAATTTTAAAATATAATCAAATTTATCCCAAAATTAATCACTTAAAATTGTTTCTTTCGCAAAAGCAACATCATATCCTCTATATATTGAGACCATTGTTCATTAATTATCATAGACACGAGACCTTTCTTAATAACTTGAAATCTCTTGATAAAGTAGTATAGTACCTTTCCTCTAGGTTTAACGTTTCAGATTGCATAAATTAGTGAGAATAATAACAATAAAAAAGGCTTAGAAGAGAAGGGTTAAGATTTGATTTTTCTTTTCCTTTTTTATATTTATAAAGAGAATAATTAACCTAATTTTTATTTAGTAAAAAAAACTCAAATTATACCATCCGAAAAAATTTAAAAAAAAGTTGAGTACGTGGTATCAAATGTGTATCGATTGGTGTACCATCTTAAAAAAATTAAAAAAAAAGTTTCGGTGCATACCATACGTGTACTGTACGCGTACTAATATTTGTCCAACACGTACCCTATACCGATACATTACCTAGAATAAAGTACTTGTGTTTCACAGGTTAAAATTCATTTTAATTGATGATAATTTTGAAACCTCATTTCTTAGACGTGTTAAAATATGTCATTAGATTTATTTCTTGTCTTTGGACCTTTAGACCCTCTTTTCTTTTGTACCAAAAGAAAATTACAAACCCTCTTTTCTTTTGTACCAAAAGAAAATTACAAAATTCTTAATGCAAGAACATCATTGACCACATTACTTATTTAAAACCTTACCTCAATCAATCATGTATAATGAATCACGATTAAATAATTTAATTGCAAAGAATCACGGTCTTGCTTGATTTAATAATGGATCTAGTTTTTATAACATTGCAAATTCATTTAAAGTTATTTATCATTTGAGAGTCTATAATTTTTTGTTTGTTTATTTTTTCAAATTTATGGATATTTATTATTTATTTATAAAAAAAAACACAAAGACAGACAGACATCTTACAATGTCTATCACAATTTGACCGTATGATCCAAAATGAAAAGTTGCTATATACCATGCTAAACAGGACCACCAATATTACGAAGAATGTTAAGGAAAATGTTCTCATTGCAAGGAATGACAAGTTTAGAACCATTGCAGAATCCAAACACATCCTCTGCATGATCCAACAAAGCCATGAATGGTGGATATTTGAGTGTGCTGACTTTGATGACAAATCTCTTGCAATCCTCGCCCACATAGACAACTATGTGTCCTTTTGGAACATCTTTTGGTATGTGTGAGTGTGACTTATGTTGTGATGTAACCCATATGCCAATAGGAAATTTGAGAAAATGAACTCTCATGCAACAATTTTTGAAAAACTTGACCTTCATCTCATCACATTTATGAAGTGGGAGAAGTATAATTGAAGAAGTGAGGTTTATGTAAATGTTAGCAAGTAGGAGCAAAGATTATATAATAGTGAAGGGTAGCTACTATTATAACATTAAATTTTAGGCAAAAGGAATCATAATAGGTATGGTTTGTTTTGTAGCTACACTAGTTTGAGTATTTAATTTAGTACATAAAAATGGAGTTTTGTACTAATTATTAGTTGTACGAGATAGGACCTTGTCACTTTTTGTAGTGTAGTTTAGTTTATAAAGAGAAGTACCCCCACACGTTGTGAATGATAGGAAAAAGGCACACAATTAAGAGAGATAAAAGAATGCAGGTTGGATCAATAATTAATTAACATTCAAAGTACAAGTTGTGTGTTCCATATATGAGAAATTTGGGGGATGGATCCCCTCGTGTGAATTTTCCCTATATTTCTCTTAGTTTTAATTCTTACTATTGAATTTTAACTCTCTCTTCTTTTAGGCCTCTATCTACTTCTCATGCATGGTTTCAGATTCTACCAGAGGATAATGTTATGGTAGATAATCCCCTTTTGGAATATGACGAAAGGGGGAAAAAAGTATGAGTTTCTACCAAAAATATTGTCAACTAATACGAAACTACATCAATCCAATATTACATATTAACAACCCATAATGTAGTGAGATGTACAATTTCTAAATGCTATGTTCAATATACGATTTATTTTTTAGGATAATTGTTCTAAGTTGGTCAGTGGCCCAAAAGGAGGAAGTTCAATTATCACCCTTGTCCACTCTACTAAAACACTGAAGATACGATGAAATTTTGTTCTAGAGTTTCACATTGAATTCACGCTAGGGGACCGATGTTTATCTTTTAGAAGTTATTAGACGGTCTTCTGCATTCTACGACAAAATAGTAGCGAATGCTCATAACTGTCATCATATATAAGGCATCCTGCGTGAGATTTGGGGTACTCTTTCTCTCTAACTCTTAACTGATTTTACTCATCATTTTTTGACTTAATTGAGTGTTAGACTGTTAACCTTGCAAGTCCACCGCCGTGTTGTTGTATCGAAGATCCACTCTTCTGCATCAAGACTTTACTTCATCATCTCACCAAGTATTTCTTATTCCCTGGATAAACAGTAGTGTCATCTATGGAAATCAACTTCTGATTCCTAGAAATTTTCAATCAATCATCTTCTAATCCAAATTCACAAATCACGACAACGATTACGCTCGAACAAAGAGTATGACTTTTAATCAAACCACTTAAAACGACATAGCTCCTCCAACATCCATGTTACCTTCTACCTTCGTCATTAATTCAATTGGTATCAAATCCTCTATAAATTCATTCAAATCATTAGCAACAATCCAAAAACTAAAACTAAAAAGATAGACTAATTGTAGGATTTCAAGGCCACAAGAAGGTGGTATGGGACTCCTAATGTGGCGTTTACATTAGTCGTAACCACCAGCATAACCAATCATTCAATATCAAGGATCATCATCGACGATGGAAGTTCATGCGACCTAATGTACTTAGAGTTTTAATGAGGTTATGATTATGCATGAATGATTTGAAGTCATGCGAAAGCGGGAGCCTTCTAGCGTTCAATGATTCCTCAACTCGTCCATGTGGAACCATATATCTAATTGTCTCGTTCGAGGAAGGAAAAAACAAGAGAGTCGTGAAAATATGTTTCCCCACCATCCCTTGCAAAAATATCTACAAAAACATCATAGGAAGGTAGTTTATCGCATAATTATACACAGTGGCCTCCAAAGTCCATTTGAAGATGAAATATCACAACAGGTCGGGTAAGGAGGTTGCTACTGTAGTTGATTTGTATGGAGCTCACTTTATACATAGTATGGTATTTAAGAAACCCTTACGACCGCCATCACCTTGAGAGAGGAAAAAAGAATGTTCGTTAAGTTGTTGGCATGGTCAATCTTGACATGTGAGAAGACAAAATCCATCAGGATGATCAACGTATTTCATCAGTAGGAGTCAAGACTAAGACAACAGAGTGATAACCCAACAAGTTCGGTCCCTATAGGTGATTATCATCCACCCATAATAAATAAGAGGTCTGTTAAGCATCTCAGGGCCAATGTTGACCTTCTCACAATATCTCCCGATGATATGTTGGACATATATTCGAGTGTATGGTGCCATTAGTTAAATATCGAACCTTTCACACAATATCTGGCCTAGCAATGAAGGCAGCAATCCCCCAATAAAGTTGAAGCAATCATAACGATAGTTCAATGCTTGCTTAATGCTAAGTTTATATTTAAGGTAGGATATATATAATGGCTCACTAAAGTCGTACTACTAGTTAAGAAAGTCTCAATGAAGTTGAGAATGTGCGCTTATTTTATTGACCTCAATCGGGAGTGCCCAAGAGATTTATATCTACTTTTAAACATAGACAAGTTTTGTAGATAGTTTAGCCAGTTACAAACTTTTATAGTTCATGGATGTGTACTTCGTTTATAACTAGATACCCATGTATGAGCTGGATAGAGAGAGAAAACAACCTTCTTGAATGAACGAGCCAATTATCAATACAATGTGATACCCTTTAGCCTGAAGAATGCAGAGACAGCATACAAAGGATGATGAAAAAAAATATTTAAGGAAGATATAGGTGAAAAACTATAAGTCTATATGGATGACATGATTGTAAAATCCAATAATGAAGAGCTACATTGTGAGCATCTCACTAGCGTATTCAAGAGAGTCTAACAGTACAACATGAGTCTCAATCCAAAAAATGTACTTTTGGGGTCATATCCCATAGGTTTTTCTAGGATTCTATCTAACAAAATTAGGCATAGAAGTGAACCCGAACAGGTACGAGGCGGACATCCGGATGGTAGCACCAAGAAGTAGTTATTGTCGTCTCCATTGAAGCATTTAGTGTCGTCCTCATAAGATAGGTGAATTATGTTTAGAGATCGGTGTATTTTATCTATAAAGCCTTATTCGGACTTGAGACATTGTACCAAAGTAGAGATAAGTTAGCATTAGCCCTCATTGTCGCGTCCAGGAATTTGAGGTGGTACTTTATAGCACACGCCTTTATTGTCTACACAAATTTTATATTAAAGCAAGTGTTCCACCCACCATATTTGGTCGAGCGGTTAACCAAGTGGTCCATAGAAATGACCAAATTCAAAACGTATTTTGAGCCTAGGAAAGCCCTTAGGGCAAAATTATTCACAGATTTCATAGCAGAAAGGACCCTGAGAACATCAAAGCAAGGTCATACTTGGGTCGTGTTAATAGATGGTTCATTAAACAACCAAGAATATGCATACATTTTAAATTATTCACTACCAATAACCAGGCCCAAATTCATTGGCGTCACACTGGTCACTGAGATGGAGAAACAAGACATTAAGTTGTAAACAGATTTCTAACTTATAGTGATACAGGTCAAAAGATATGCTCAAACCAAAGATATTTTGTTGCAACGATATGTAACCTTGACAAAGGAAAAGTTTGTGAAATTCAAATCCTATAAAATCTTGCACGTCCCAAGGGAGGATAATACCAAGGTATGCGTCTTTTCTAAGCTCTCTAGCACTAGAGCCTTTGAGGTTAACCATTCTTTCATCCAAGAAACTCTAAGGAGATCAATAATTGAATCCCTTAAGGTGATGATGGAAATCATAGAAGCCATGTCACCCCCTTTTTGGATCTCGCCCATTGTAATCTAACAAGGAACATTTCCCATTGATCTGATAGTGATTGCCCTAGCTGAGAGAAGAGGTAGCTCATATTTTGGGATATAAAGAACTTTTAAGATAAGAGGTTTGTCAACCTCTCTATTGAAATGCTTAAAAGGAGAAGAAGTTGCATACACTATTGTCGTGGTGCAAAAAGGGATAGTCAGGCAACACTTGGGAGTTGGGCTCTAGCTAAGAAAGTCCTTATCTAAGACACCAAAGATTTTGTGAAGAAGTGGAACCAGTGCCAAAGACATGGATATGTTCACAACGCTCCTTTGTTAGAGTTTCATTCATTGACATCACCATGGTATTTATCTCAATGAGGAATGGGCATCCTCGGTCTATTTCCTTTAACTCCGAGCGAGTTGAAGTTCCTAATTCTAGCAGAAGATTATTTTACAAAATGGGACAAAGCAGAGGCCTTGGCAAACATAAGTGTTGTTAAATTGTTAAAGTTATTCAAAATAAACATCTTAATAAGGTATGGAATCGCTTAATCCATCATGACAAATAATGGGACACAATTCACAAATAAGAACTTCAAGAAGTTACTGAAGGACTTAAAGGTCAAGTAAAACTTCACTTTGATTGAACACCCTTAGACCGCTAGGAAAGCAGAAGCGACAAACCGTGTTATGTTGAGAGGATTGAGAAGGAGGCTCAAAGTAGCTAAGAGGAATTTGGCCGAAGATTTGCTGCATTTTTGGGGATTATAGGACTACACCACATTCAACAACAAGTGGGGTGTTCTTTCGACTCACTTACGGGACCAAAGTTGTCATCCCTCTTGAAATAGGGGAATTGAACTCGAGAACAACAAATACTTTTCTTGAAGGAGATAATTCATAAGATATCAAAGATAAGGTATAACTTTTGGAAGAAAGAAGAGCTTCAAACACCCTCATGAGTGTCATCATAAAGAAAGAAAGAAAATTTAAGTACAACAAGCGAGACCAACCTTAGGAGTTCCATCTAGGATACCTTGTGCAAGGAGAGCCAACATTGGAGGGAAGAATGTATGAGATGGAAAATTTTCTCCCAAATGGGAAGGGAAATACATCTTCAAGGTTAGGACATGAAATAGAACTTACACTTTAAGTACTCTGCCTAGAGAATTAATCCTAATGCTGTGAAATGCTGATAAATGTAATACTTTGATATGAATAAATGCAAAAAAATTATTTAAATTATATGATTGTCTTTCTTTTGATAAGATCGGGGTAAAAGAAAAATAAAGCGCACAAAGTCACATCTGGAACAA